GTGACCCTCGTCCTCTTGTTCCTCGGGTCCTTGCCTCCCTCGTTACTGACCCGTCTGTTCCTGTCTCGAGTCTTGATGCTCTTATCGCTGTTGTCGCTGACTTCGCCTTGACTACGCCATAGCTCTGGTCTCTGGGCTTGCCTGCCCTCCGTCCGTCGGGGGTGCTCTTGCCCTTGGCAGTGACGTCCTAGAGGACATGCAATACGAGCTTGCTTTCCTGTCTGAGGCCGCTCCCCATCTCTGCTCCATGCTGCTAGTCCCCGAGGGTGACCCAGACGCCCTTGACATCCCGACCCCTCGCACTTACGCTGAGGCGACCTCGGGACCGTGGGCCTCTTAGTGGATAGCTGCCATGGAGCAAGAGATGGCATCTTGGAGATCCACTGACACCTACGTCGACGCAGTTCCCCCACCTGGGGTTAACGTAGTTGATGGCCGGTGGCTCTTCAAAGTGAAGCGCCCCACTAGAGAGCCGCCTGTGTTCAAGGCGCGCTACGTGGATAGAGGCTTCAGTCAGCACGGGGGTGTGGACTTCTTTCAAACCTTCACCCCGACCCCAAATATGAGTACTCTTCAGGCACTGCTACACGTAGCAGCACAGCGTGACTATGAGCTACACTCCCTCGACTTCTCCACGGCATTCCTTTAGAGCAGCCTACAGTAGCAGGTCTACTTCACCAGTACCTTCCCTCCTGGGACCCAGTGGCTCCTCCGGCGCCCGGTCTACGGCCTGCGACAGGCGCCTCGTGAGGGGCACGACACGCTGCGTGCTACGCTAGCTGACTTGCAGTTCTTCCCGTCGTCTGCAGACCCCTCGCTCTTCGTTCGTGCTGGCCAGACCCTGTTCTACATCCTTGTATACGTAGACGACCTGGTCTTCGCTACTGCTGACAGAGACGCACTAGCCTCCGTGAAGGCTGAGCTGCTGAGGAGACACACTTGCACTAACCTAGGAGAGCTGCACTGCTACCTTAGCCTGCAGATCTCCAGGGGCAGAGCAGCGCGCACCATCACTCTTACACAGTCACACTTGGTGCGCCAGGTCCTTAAGAGTTTCGGGCGTCAGTTCTCCTGTGCACAGCCCACTCCTCTGCGAGTAGACCACAGGCTCTCTGCTCCAGTTCTTGAGGAGTCTGTAGAGCCTAGTGGTGGGTTGCCTCATGTACCTGATGACTTGCAGCTAAGAGTGTTTTGCGTTTTCTAGCAAGTACATCTGGCATGCGACTTGTGCTGGGAGGACGCAGGCCAGTGGTCCTTACTGGGCACACAGACGCTCATGGGCAGACGACGCTGAGATACTCAGGTCCTCCCAGGGCTACTGCTTTAGCCTTGGTTCAGGTGCTATCTCGTGGAGGTCCACTAGCTCCTCGTCTGTTGCCCAGTCTAGCTGTGAGGCTGAGATCTACGCCGGTGCCATGGCGGCACTGGAGCTCCGCTGGTTGATGTTCTTGCTTACCGACTTAGGTGAGCGGCCCAGCTCAGCCCCGGTCTTGTAGGTTGACAACAGGGCCATGGTCCTCCTGTATCAGGAGCCTCGACTCGAGGGCAGAGCGAAGCACATCCTGCTGCGGTACTTCCTCCTGCGCGAGCTACAGAAGTGCTGCCAGGCCCGCATAGTACACTTAGCCTCCAATGCCAACACAGCTGATATCTTTACTAAGGCGCTTGCGCCTTAAGATCATCAGCAGCACTATTTGCAGCTTGGTCTAGTTCCTGTAGACTCTCACTTGCTAGGACCTTGGTTGTGTACTCCTCTTAAATATATTTTTTCTTGACTGGCCTTGTGGCTGCTGTTCAAGTGGCTGGACTAGTAGTGCCGCCCTTACTTGCTCTTGTCGAGTTTGTATTCTTGATGACTGGTCTTCGGACCCTAGTCTCAGAGGTTCGACTTGTAGTGCCGCCCTGAGTTGCTTGTCTCTTGCCAGGCACTGCCCCTTCCCAGTCTAGGGGGTGTGTCAAACATATTTGCATATATTGCTGTAGACTAGATAGGGGCATGCCTTAGCAAGTACAAAATTTTAGGTCAAAACCACCATGCACCCTATTTTCTAGTTTTATTCTGCTACTCTAATAAACCACATGTTTAGGGTGGCCAGGATCTAGAGTTGGTGGAACCACGAGTAAAAGTCAGCGGAAGACTTTACACCTTGTATTGGAAATGTTCGAAATGACAAGGATAATAATCATTAGTAATTCAGGCATATTTATAGTCTAGGAAGTACCTATTTGGATGTACCTATTCGTAGTGTATCGTGACTATTCGCGTGACATGACAAGTGTCTGTTCGTGTGACCGAGAGTGGCGTGACCCTTTGGGTGACTATACGCGCGAACCTACTGTTCACACGTTGACTCACTACTGCTGACGTCATCACTCGCGTCCTTCCATATGAGGTATCGCGCTACTAGTACAGTCTAAGTATGATATCAGGAATGCATAAGTAAACTGTCTCAAGTATACTTCAACACGAAGCTCATTAAACTTCCCAACCACATATTGTGGTTGGGATTTTCCAGCCACTTCGTGGCACCATCCAATAAACTGGGCCAGTTTATTGTCGCCGAATAGGGCCCCCTGATAGCAATAGGATGGTAGTACTTTCCCTGCAAAACCCCCTGTAGTGTGGCCCCGAAACCAAATTGGCCCTGCTTGGGACGTCCTCATGCTAGTGCAAGGGAGACAAGCGGGTGAGTTAAGATTGTTGCATAAGAAACAAGGGTATACCGTAATCCCCCGTATATAACACCCACCGAAATAGTCACTCCATGGGTGGCTTATGCGGGGGATAGCTTATGATATGGTACATTTTTTAGAGCACCCGTTTTTCTGGGTTTGCATTATACATAACAACCTGCTAGTTTTTTTTCCCTTCAAACAGTATTTGGTCCTTCATTACCAAGGTCCACTCAGCTGCAAAAAGCGAGCAGGACGAAAATCGCGTTAGCTGCCATTAGCGGTGCAAAAACGGGCAGAAGAATCAATACAAGTGGCATAGCGAAATCGGAAGTCAACGAGTGTCGAGAGGATCTCGACCAAGGCCTCAGAAGTCAGGTCAAAAAGGCCTGAAAGCCTGTATATCAGGGTGTTTTTCAGGGGTCGGCCTGTTTTTTCAGGTTTCGATTTTCCCTTGTCCTGATTTTTAGGGGCTCTTATTTTGATAGGCATGGTTTATAGTACGTTATAGTTACGTGTAGCCTGATTAATCAGCCTTAGCGAATTTTCGGCCTGAAACCGAACCCCCACCCCCCCCCCCCCCCTCCCCGGAACCACGCTTGGAGCGGCCCGCAGTATGCATGCTGGAGCACGTGTGAGGGGTGTGATTGGTCCTTGACCAAAACCACAAGTCTACATGGAGTCCTGATAGAGCACATGTGAGGAGCGTTGTGTGTGATCCTTAGCCGAATTTACCTGCAGCAATGAAGCTGTGCTGGAACATGAGTCTCTGCCGTGATTGGTCCTTGACGAAATTTACTGAACTTCAACCAATCGTCTAAGAGCTGCTGCAGTTTCTACCAAGGCACACTCATAAGCAGAAGCACCAACAATGCATCTCCCTTGGCATCACAACGCTATGCGTCCTGGCATGTCGCGTCGTGCTGCCAGATTCCACCACCACCACTCTCACCGTCCTCATCGGATCGGTTGTGGGGGGACCACCTGTTTCATGCCTTTCTTTGCAGGCTGGTCTACCACTTCTGCTGCGCTCTTGGCACGCTGGTTTTGCAGCACGTTAGACTAGCTTTTCGGAGTCGTATCTCTGCCTCTCTAGTTTAGCCTCCTCTCGTTCCTCACACCCGTCATGAGCGATGACGAGGGGTGGCAGCTGCAGGGGTCAAGTCGCCGCAGCCCTAAGGCGACGTCAGGGCCAGCAGGCACTCAGCCAGGCCTGCAGTCAGCACTGGATCTCCTTGTCCGTCCCGTAGCTACGTCGAACAGGTGGCGGGCGGTCGATCCGTTCCCGCCGCTGCGTAGCAGTCCCCCGCATAATCCTACGCGAGGTTTTCCTCAGTTGCGTAGCCCCGTGAACGTGACGGGCAGTTCGACTCCGGCGCAGACCAGCTCGCCGCGAGTTGCGTCGAGTTCGCTGCAACCCCCTCGCAGTCTGCCACGAGTAGCTGCTCGGAGGGGAAGGGGAAGGAGAAGGTACTGGATGAGGAGGAGGTGGAGGAGGTGGAGGGAGAGGATGGGGAGGAGGAGGGGGATGAGGAGATGGAAGAGGACGAGGATGAGGGAATGGCAGAAGGGGAGGAGTGCAGCAGTGGTGGCGGTGACTGGGAAGATGAGTGAGCAGAAAAAGCATCACCTGGAGCAGGGGAAGCATAACCTGGAGCAGCAGAAGCATCACCTGGAAGACTCTGCCTTGTGGCCACAGCAGCTGCAGCAGTGGCCAGATTATGGGACCCAACCCAAGTATCAGGGCTATGTGTATGTATGGATGTATAATATAACCTGCTGTGAGATTGTTGTTGTGACAGACCTGTGGCTAATTCCCCCTGATGTCAGTACTTCTTCATTGCATACAAGCAAGTCCTAGCCTAAACAGGTGAAATGCATACAGATTTCAGGGTACTCGAGATTGTAGCCCTGACCAGTCAGCCTTGAAAAGTTTTGGGCCTGTCGTAAGGGCGACCCCTTAGGCTTCAGCCCTCCCAAAACCAATCTGAGGGCCTGATCTCGACCGTCCATCTTGCAGGTGAACCACCTCGATCACGTCAGCAATGGTCGAGAATATCTCGACCGCTTTCCGAGGCATGGAACTGACTCTGTTCACAGCGCTCAACAGAGATTGGTCAAGGACACGTGGCACTGTTGGATCTATCTCCCGCCATTTTCTGATGCACCAGACTGACCCTATCAGAGTATGCAATCTCTGTAGTAGATTCCTCATTAGCAGCTGCTCCGTGAAGTACTGGCCTCACAATGCCTGTTACATAAGACATGGGCTTTATATTTTCCAGCCTACTGTTAACACCCATTCGTTTTTTTATGAATTTTTGACAATACCTTAGGGTGTTATATACGGGGGAATATGGTACGAGCATATGAGAGCACACAGGGTGTTTGATACACTCGACAATCAAACAGTACTTAGGCGTCTACAGCGTTACAGCGGAGCTCTTAGGTATCCTTCCCACTACACACTTCCAGACGAGCTACCCGAGACACCCATGCTCTTCACTCGAGCAATCTCAGCATCGAAATCCACCTGAAACGAAGCGTCGATTTCCTCGTCAATGCGAGATGCAACCCTGTTTGCCTGCGCTCCAAAAGCATCCTCCCTCATCTTCACCAGATCTACCAGCACTTGGCTGATTGAGGGGCGGGAGGCCGTGGGCATGGCAGTGCAGGAGAGGGCAAGGCGGGCCAAGCGCAGCACGAGATCATCCGGTGCGTCCAAACAAGGGTCCTTGAATGCCGATACTGCATTGGATTCCACCAGTGGAGCCACCTGCACAGTTCGGAGGACATGCCACAGGGCGGAAACTTTGAAATAGCTCGGAAACAGGGCCCTAGATTGGTTTTGAGGCTTCCTGATCCATCAGGATCCTCCCTGCAGAAAAGTCTGAATTTTCAGGGTCCCCTAAAAAAAAAATCCTGAGCCATCAGAATTACTTTAAAAAAAAAAAAAAAAAAAAACTGATTTTTCAATCTTTCTATACATGTTATAGTTCATGAATTTTGTGTGTTCAAGTCTTGGTTTTTGGGGGTGCTGGGAATTCGTAGCAAATTCGCGCGTGTGTGGCGAGATTCGGGGATGGGCAGGAAATGACAATTGGTGGGGGGGAGAGGGGGGAAGGGCTGAATAGGGGGGGAGGCGACGAGATTGCAGGGGCGGAGGGAATCTCTTCCTGCGCAAATTGGGCCAGCAATTGCCCTCACACAGTCCTCAGCACACCTCCCTCACATGACCTCCAACATACAGCGCGGAGATCTTTTTGACCAAGGGCCAATCAGTGCCCTCACACAGCCTCGGGGGGTGGGGGAAGGGGGGGGGGAGAACCTCGAAATTCTTGACTGCCCCCCCTAGACACGCTTTTGGAAAGGACTAAGACCCGCTACAATGCTGAGAAATTCAGGGTTCGCTAAGAAACCTTGCTGAGCGATCAGAGTTTACCCTTACAAAAAGCCTGAAAAAACAGGGTGTGTCATTTACAAAACCCTGCACCATCAGGGTAAGTACCGAGAAACTCCCTGTTTTTTTCCTGAATCAGGAAAATTTTCCTGACTTCTGGGGGCCTGCTCGGAAACAACAGATTTGATAAGGTTACGGAGCATGGCATAGCATCGCCACCATAAAGGTTTTGTCCGGCTACCCTCACCTACTATGACTATCGTTGATTGTGTTGTCGTTTATGCCCCATTTAATAGCTATTTGTGTCTCACCCATTTCCTGAGGTTGGTGTGAGTGTCCTCTGTCACGTGAACCGCCTTGCGTGCTGTGATGACCACCAGCATCACCACTCCGAAACTGCAAATTTATGCAAACGAGTGAGCACATCATTTGTTCGAATTCAAAGAACATAACTCGGCAAGAACATCTATTGCATACTTCTCATGTACCAAGCGGATTGCTGGAGTGATATTTTCATGCCCCTCTACTCACCTGTAGACATCTGCGGCTGGAGTGGCCTTGTGCGACTTGTAGTAGGCTGGGTCCACGAAGCCGGGTGTTCCCATCACTCGAGTGGCAGCCACCGTGGTGCCCATAGCGGTGCCTCCACTCAGCTTCACCAGCCCAAAGTCAGCAATCTTGGCCTGACCACCGATCACAAGAGCACCACCTTAAAAAATTATAAGTGTGTGGGCGACTCATGGCTGGTTGGTTCCAGGATATGGCCATCTGGTAATAGTGAGGGGATGGAAAGTGGTAGGAGAGCTATGCCTGCATTTGCGGAAGGGTTACACTTTTTAAACATGCCTGCATCTTTGCATCGAGGAGAATGTTGGCGGGCTTCATGTCGCGATGCACAATGCCGAATTCATGCAGGTACTGCAGCCCCTTAGCCACTCCAATCAGCACGTCCAACCGCTGCCGCAGAGAAAGGGGGTTGGCGACACCAGGTCCAACCCAGGTCTCGAGATCGTTGTTGTGCATGAGCTCGTACACCAGGATCTGCTCCATCTTACGCGTTGCCGGGTTGAAGTCCAGGCAGTAGCCCAGCAGCCGCACGAGATGAGGGTGGTGCTTGCTTGCCATCTCCTTCACCTGAGAGGGAAAGGATAGTTAAAAGATGGGTGGTGAGGAGATGCGAGGGAAGGGAAAATCCAGCATTGGCAGCAGATTCTTTTCAGTGTGTGAAAGAAATGCAGCAATTTCACAGTAGGATACCTCGATCTGAAAGTCATTGGAGAGAACTCGGGCACGTTTGACTGCCCAAGCTTTATTGCGATCGTAGGGAGACACGCCCTTGTACACATCCCCAAAGCTGCCGCTGCCAAGCCTGTTCTTTTCTGCCCACTCTTCAGTAGCCTTCTCCATATCTACCAGGGAATACTCCCGACACACATCTGGCCGTGCGGCCTCCACATCCACCACAGCACCAGGGTCGTCCCTCCCTCCTGCTGCTGCAGCAGCTGCAGCTGCAGCTGCCGCCCATCCTACTCCTGCTTGTGCTTCCGGACCATCCTCGTTATGGTGTGTATCTGCAAAGGAATATTGGAGAGGGAGTGTGGATGCGCTGATTGGAATGTCTTCAATTAGAAAGAGGATTGGAGATGGAAGAGGGGAAGGTGGATGCAGTGAGTGGGGAGGGGAGTATCAGGTATTGTGTGGAGAGAGGGACACTTGCCTTGGAGCGCACTTTCTGCTGCCAAGTTTTTGCCCTCCCCATTCGTTCCAGCATACCCGCTTGCTGCTGCTGCCTCAGTACGCCGTCGCCTCCAAAACATGACTCCCAGCAGCAGAAGCGCGAGGCCAAGCACCACGGCAGCAGCAGCAATGCCAGCAATAGCTGCCGTGGACATGCCGCCTCCAGACTGGGAGGGAGCAGCTGCAGGTTGACTGGCAGTTGAGGTGGTGGGAGGAGGTGGAGAGGGTGTGGGCACTGGTGATGGGGCGGGGGAAGGCGAGGAGATGGAAGGTGGGGCTGGAGAGGGGGAGGAGGGTGGGGAGGGTACTGAGCCTGGGGAGGATGGCGTTGTGGAGTTGGTAGGTGGAGGGGTAGAAGGGGAGGATGCTGTAGGGGTGAGGGTGTGGGTAGGTTTGGTGGTAAATAGGGGTGAGGGGGAAGAGGGGAAATGGAAGAGGGGGTGAAGTGAAGGTGCAATGGAGGGAGGGAAACCCCAGAGGGATAACGGATCACACGGAGTAGCTGGACGAGCTGCTGATTTGATCTGATCAGATCTGATCTGATCTGATCTCTGCAGACAGGCTGGCCACAGGTGCATGGCAAAGAACGTTCGGTACTGCAAGCACTAGCAAATTCCCAAAACTAGTAGGCAATACATAGTCGTCTCAATGGAGAGGGTGGTGGGGAGACGACGGAATGGGGCATGGGGCGAGCACAGGGATCGTATTTGGAGGCCAGGGGGTGGTGGGGGGACGTAAGGGGGTGGCCCAGCCGACCAACTCCCACCTCATACACATAGATCTTCTATTTTTAGGCAACTTCTTCGAAGCTGACTGGTCATTCCATTGAAGTGGGATGGTGTCAGTAGCCTCACGAATGTTCATAGGGGCTAATAATGCGCAGAGGAGCCCCGCGCGCCAGGCAGACATGATCAAAACGCGATTGCGATTTAAATCGCATCGCATGCAGGTGCGATGTTAAAAAAAGCGATGCGATTTTAAATCGCATCGTGCGATTTATTTTTCAAAAAAAAAAAAAATCGCACATCGCATTTTACCCGCGATGTATTAAAAAATCGCATGCGATATTTAATTAAATCGTGCAATGCGATTTTAAATTGCATCGCGTTTTAAAACAGAATTAAAAACACCCCAAAAAACAGAAAAAAACCATGGCTGCGGGGAAATTGACTCACGGGCAGTCGTAAGCTAGAGTGCAAATAACCAGTGTGGTTCCGTAGTGGGTTTCAGAGTGGGTTTCAGTGCAATATCGCGCGCGATTTTTTTAAAATCGCATATCGCATTTAAATCGCGTTTTTTAAGCGCGATTAAAATGCGATTTAAATTAAATCGCGCAATATTAATTCATCGCATCGTGCGATGATTTAAAAAAAAAAAAAAAAAAAAAACATCGCCATCGCAAAAACGCGATTAAATGCGATGCGATGCGATTTTTTTTGCCCATGTCTAGCGCCAGGGGGGAGATAAATCGGGGTGAGTGAAAATGCTTTCAGTCATACGCAATGTGCTGAAGTAAAGAACAGAAACACCGTGCTCAACAAGAGGATGGAAAGGGAGACAGAAGAAAAGGAGGGTCGGAAATGGAGAGAACAGGAGAGAACAGGAGAGCCTGGAAACGGATTGTCTCGTGCAGGATATTATTTTTGAGGCGCCTCATGGCTATCATCGCCATCATGGCTAAAGACAATTGTCTCACGTGTGGGAGAGGGCGGTTCCGTAATACAGGTGGAGCAGAAGGTTGGGCACGCCTTGCAGAAAGCGCTTGACTGAGTCTGTGGGACCACACAGCTGCTTTTGTCACGTGGGCATGTGATTGTCGTGTTGGTGATGTCCCTGCAGGTGCACAGAAAAGCGTTGCACAGAAAAGGTACAGGTTCAAACAAGGGGGGAGCCTCTATCTCTCTCAAGCGCTTCCTCAAGCCTCCTCACTGATGGAAACCTTGGTAGGAATTTTGACATGGCCGGGGCTGGACAGGACGAATGATCTGCGACCCCCAGGGTTGCTGCAGGGTGAAGCTAGAGTGTGATAGGTGTTCAAGAGTTAGCAATGAGAGCTACCGGTGCTCTTGGTTGGTTGGATGAACTTACAATGCATAAAGGCGGGTAAGGCGGCCCAATGTCGGAGGGAGCTCGCCAGTGAATTTGTTTAGGGTAAAATCACTGCAAGCAGAAAGGACAAAACACATGCAACAACAATGACGACGACGACAACAACAACAGCCATGCTAGGGTTTTGTCAATATTGCTGATGATTATTCAGCCAGATTAAAAAGTCAGCTCTCAGAAACGGTTTTCTTGATAGCACAACCAGCTAAAAGCTCACAATTATCCAAGTGAATAGTAGGATACACCCGAGGATGATTTCGTGGATAAGAGGAAAAAATCCAGAAATACCTAAATCACACCGTCTGTCTATGGATGTGAACATACTGTAGCACATACAGGTGTGTAAGCTTCACGAGCTTGCTCATGGATCCAGGAATGCTGCCACTTAACCTGTTATTGAACAGGTATCTGGTGGGTTGAATTCATAACGAGAGTACATAATTTAGCGAAGGCAGTGGAAATGTACAAACAAGGCTTTCTGCTTGCAAGAAGCATGAGCAATACGGTGGCTCATACGTAATAAGATATATGCTGTGAAACACCGCACGTGCAGATATTTCTGTACCACGAGAAATTGCAAGTAACTCAGCCCTTACAAACCATCCAAGTTGATGAGGTTGCCAATGCACTCTGGAATGGACTGAGAGAGAGCGTTATAACATAAATCCCTGCGTCCATCATTAGCAACAAGCAAGCCATCACGGAGAAAAGAAGGGTTCTTTCTAATCCGTTCTCATGCCTTTTGATGCAGCACTGCCATATGCAAGCAGACAGAAGCTGAAATAATATCGAATGCTTCAAGAAAAAACTGCACCATTCCTTCCTATCATCCACGCCAAAAATGAGGTAGGGGGTGGGGGGGAAATCAGCTTATTCCCATGATACTCACGGAAACAATGAGCACTCGTCGTTACTGGGGATGAGCATAGTAGACCCGACCCGGCCCCGCCCAGCCCAAATTTGGTCAGCCTGACTTGGAAGTTGGAAGACAGGCCGGGCTGGGCTGTGTCGGGCCACAATCGGGCTGACTCCAGAAAATTTATGGCCCGGCCCCCCTTTTAGGGCTGGGCCGACCTTGCCCCATTGGCAGGGCGGGCCGGGCCGCGGGGCAAAAACCAGGCCGGGGGCGGGCCAGGGGGGTGGAGGGGTGGGGGGGGGCGGACTGCCTAAGGTTGGGCCGAGTCTCAGAATTGGCTGGCCTGGCCCGGGTATTTTCCAGGCCGGACCGGACCACCACCTGACCTGGCCCGGGTATTTTCCCGAAATTCTCAGCCCCGCCCGGGTGTCCATGGGCGGGTCGGGCGGGCTGGCCAATTCTGACCCCCTAAACCGGGCCAAAATCGGACCGGGCGGCCCCACCTCCTTTTCTGGTTGTTTGGGCCCCTGATCTCACACAACCCCATGCCGCACCCTTTCCACATCATTCCCCCAGTCTACGATATTGGACAGCAAGAGTATGGCACACAAGAACGATGGACTGGTTTCCAGCCATAAACTACCGTTAAGTCTGGTAAAGTGGCCACATCTAGCCACTCATTCTCACCCATCACAGAGGCACAATCTTGGGTAAGAAATCGTTTTTTTATGGCTGGATGTGGCCACTCATAACCAGGATTGCGCTTGCGCCTCTGGGATGGGTGAGAGTGTAGGTTGTGAATCATTCTCTGCCAAGAAAATGAGTCGTGACGGTCAAAATCTGGACACCACGGAAAATGAGTTGCACGGACCTCACATGCCTTGCCTGGAGACTTTTGAGTCGACTCAAAAGTCAAAATGAGTTGCACGGACCTCGCATGCCTTGCCTGGAGTGGAGAAATCTGCCCAACGTCGGGCCAGGCTGACCCTGACCACCGGGCCAATCAGAAATGCCCAGGTAGGGCTGACCCGCTGGCCTGCCCGGGCCAGGATGCTGCGAAGAGGCGACCGGCCCCGGGTTATTTCTGGGCCAGGCAGGGTTAACCATGGTGGCCGTGTGTAGCCTTGCAAAATATTGGTCCATTGGTCTCGGCCCGGGTTATTTCTGGGCCAGGCTGGGCCGGCCCAGCTCGACCAGGCCGTTTTCTGATGTTCTTGGGTTGACTCAGATGCCTACGTGTGACGTTCTTGGGTTGACTCAGATGCCTACGTGTGACGTTCTTGGGTTGACTCAGATGCCTACGTGTGACGTTCTTGGGTTGACTCAGATGCCTACGTGTGACGTTCTTGGGTTGACTCAGATGCCTACGTGTGACGTTCTTGGGTTGACTCAGATGCCTACGTGTGACGTTCTTGGGTTGACTCAGATGCCTACGTGTGACGTTCTTGGGTTGACTCAGATGCCTACGTGTGACGTTCTTGGGTTGACTCAGATGCCTACGTGTGACGTTCTTGGGTTGACTCAGATGCCTACGTGTGACGTTCTTGGGTTGACTCAGATGCCTACGTGTGACGTTCTTGGGTTGACTCAGATGCCTACGTGTGACGTTCTTGGGTTGACTCAGATGCCTACGTGTGACGTTCTTTGGGTTGACTCAGATGCCTACGTGTGACGTTCTTGGGTTGACTCAGATGCCTACGTGTGACGTTCTTGGGTTGACTCAGATGCCTACGTGTGACGTTCTTGGGTTGACTCAGATGCCTACGTGTGACGTTCTTGGGTTGACTCAGATGCCTACGTGTGACGTTCTTGGGTTGACTCAGATGCCTACGTGTGACGTTCTTGGGTTGACTCAGATGCCTACGTGTGACGTTCTTGGGTTGACTCAGATGCCTACGTGTGACGTTCTTGGGTTGACTCAGATGCCTACGTGTGACGTTCTTGGGTTGACTCAGATGCCTACGTGTGACGTTCTTGGGTTGACTCAGATGCCTACGTGTGACGTTCTTGGGTTGACTCAGATGCCTACGTGTGACGTTCTTGGGTTGACTCAGATGCCTACGTGTGACGTTCTTGGGTTGACTCAGATGCCTACGTGTGACGTTCTTGGGTTGACTCAGATGCCTACGTGTGACGTTCTTGGGTTGACTCAGATGCCTACGTGTGACGTTCTTGGGTTGACTCAGATGCCTACGTGTGACGTTCTTGGGTTGACTCAGATGCCTACGTGTGACGTTCTTGGGTTGACTCAGATGCCTACGTGTGACGTTCTTGGGTTGACTCAGATGCCTACGTGTGACGTTCTTGGGTTGACTCAGATGCCTACGTGTGACGTTCTTGGGTTGACTCAGATGCCTACGTGTGACGTTCTTGGGTTGACTCAGATGCCTACGTGTGACGTTCTTGGGTTGACTCAGATGCCTACGTGTGACGTTCTTGGGTTGACTCAGATGCCTACGTGTGACGTTCTTGGGTTGACTCAGATGCCTACGTGTGACGTTCTTGGGTTGACTCAGATGCCTACGTGTGACGTTCTTGGGTTGACTCAGATGCCTACGTGTGACGTTCTTGGGTTGACTCAGATGCCTACGTGTGACGTTCTTGGGTTGACTCAGATGCCTACGTGTGACGTTCTTGGGTTGACTCAGATGCCTACGTGTGACGTTCTTGGGTTGACTCAGATGCCTACGTGTGACGTTCTTGGGTTGACTCAGATGCCTACGTGTGACGTTCTTGGGTTGACTCAGATGCCTACGTGTGACGTTCTTGGGTTGACTCAGATGCCTACGTGTGACGTTCTTGGGTTGACTCAGACATGAGACTCACAGGGTAGTGAGACCGGTTATGTTGCAAATGGCAGGTGGAATAGACGAAGTTAAACGATTTGTGTTCAGTCCCCTGGTAGTACAATCAGAGGGTTTCATGGGTAACGTAAAGTGGTTAAAGAATTTGGGAGGGATTGGGCGGAGAGAACAAGTAAAGTGGGTCACAGAGGCGCAAGACATTGACTTGCAATTGTGGCATACGTGACACGTCTCAATAGGTACATTCAATTGCTAGCTGTGTGTGTGTGTGTGTGTGTGTGAGAGAGAGAGAGAGAGAGAGAGAGAGAGAGAGAGAGAGAGAGAGAGAGAGAGAGAGAGAGGGAGAGAGAGAGAGAGAGAAGTATGTGTTAGCATTCGCTCTAATGGAATCTTGGCATCTGGTAACGTGAAAGGGTGACTAAGAACTTGTCATATGGAGAGCGTGAAATTGCACAAGGAAAATCATGGTCGCGAGACGAAAGGTCAAGAGACACGCACAAATAGCGGAGATTGAGGAGTCCGTCAATGCCAGCGGGTATCCATCCAGTGAGGTTATTTTCACGGAGATCCCTGGAAGGAAGAGAGGATATTCAATGCCGGCGGGTATCCATCCGATAATGGATCGACAGTCACACAGTGATACAGGGGAAAGAGAGATGACCCCATCATCACATCAACACATTGGGGAACATGTCTTTCAGTCACAACCTGGAATGTGCATAATGTCGTGCTAGTGGTTTGGTTTCCCATTGGTACTGACAAGGATGTGAGGTTGGACAAGCTTGCAAGGGTGCGCGGAATCGATCCTGTCAAGCCGGTTTGGTGTAGATTCCTGATGATACACGTAGGGGAGGAGGCCCGGAGACAAGGATACACAGAGACATGGGGGAGAATTTGTTTACAGACGTGCAATACAGCCTCAATTTTATTGCGCACACACAGAAAATGATGGCCATGTGGCATGCCACCGCTAATTGGACACCCAGAATAGGGTGTTCTCCTTGTTAGACGTTTAAATACTGCAAGAAAAGGGTGTTTTTTTTTTCCCAACTGATTCAAAAGCTGCCTCTTCTACTTCCACGGACAACTGCATTACCAGTCATTGTCCAATCAGAAAGCCAGACTTGTTGTGTACTCATGCATGCATACATACACATATGTCCATGGACCATGGCCATACATATGTGTGCATGGTCAGACCCACACCGATTCCACTGCTGCTCACAGGTGTCGCAGGCTAGCCAATTGGCTGATAGAGGGTGGGATGGTTCCAGTTAAGCTATGTTCGTTTAAATCTCTGGGCGGGTGTGGAGTAGAGGGAAAAAAAGGGGGAGAAGGGGGGAAAGAAATAGATTCTACGAGGAAAAGGGGGAAAAAAGGGGGAGAAGAGGAGAGGGAGGGAGAAAGGGAGAGAGAGGCAAAATCACGAGAGGGAGGAGAGGATTGAAGGAGGATGGATAGATGAGAGGGGGACAGGGAGCGCAGCAAGCAGCATGCGAGACAAGGTGGGATGCTTATAAGTCGCCAGCAAGGGTTGATTCACTCACATCTTGGTGATCATGCCTTTGGCATCGCAGGTCACATGCTCTGCAAGGCTGCAGTTTCCTCCAGCCACCCACCCTTTGAAAGTCTGACCCCACTCCTGCTGCAAGTCCAGGAGGACTTGCACTGCAGGCACAGGGAGGGAGGAGAGGGGCAGGAGAGCAGGAGTGCAGGGATGGATGGAATACTTTTCCTACTCCACGGTCCACCACCCACCCATCATCTGAAGTGTCACCTCTTGGCCTGATCCGATTCCTTCTTGCCTTCGATTTCGTGACCTCTGAGACAGACTTCGCTCCTCGTGTTTCCGACTTTCATCTATGCTGTCCCAGTCAGTGCTCACAAAAGCTCTCCTCTTTCCCTTCCCTATGACTCCCATCTTCTCCCCTCCCTTCCCCTACCCGCCCCACCTTGCCAACCTCCTTCCCTCCCTTCCCCTCTCTTTCCCTACCCTTTCCTTCCCCTCCCCTCCCCTTCCCTGCGCTCCCTTCGCCTCCCCTCTTCCCTCCTCTCCCCTCCCCTCCCCTCATCTTCCCTCCTCTCGATTCCTCCCTTCCCCTCTCCAACCCTCCTGTACTCTCCTCCCATCCCCTCCCCTCCTCCCCTCCCACATCCCCACCATCACCCTCCAAGCCTACCTCTCACACCACTGCTGCATGGTTAAGTTGGGGCAAGGTGCAGTGGGGCAGGGTGCAGTGAGGTGGGGCAGGGTGCAATGAGGTGGGGCAGGGGGCAGTGAGGTGATGGGGCAGGTTGCAATGATGTGGAAGTGGAGAGATGGGGGCGACATATATAAGGGCGAGACACAGGGGGAGAGCACAGTAGTCGAAATGCTTACAACCAGATGATAAAAAATGGTTGATTCATGGGAGGCGATTCAAAGGAGGGATCCACACAGAGGAGATTGGCGAAAGGGGAGGAGACTTAGTGTGGGGAGTTAACCATGGCGAAGAAATCTGGGAAGGACTTGACTTTGGAACGAGTTAACTTGGAGAAACTTTGGTAGCTCACTTTGAGGTGAGGTGTTTGCAGCAGAGGGTGGTTTCATAACACAGGTGGAGCAGAAGGCGAAACACGTAGCGCAGAATGCGCTTGTCACGTCCTGTGTTATCACACAGCTGCTACGGGCCGGTGGGCATGTGAGTGCTGTTCCGGATATGTCCCTGCAGATATGTGACACGCCGTTAAGAGCCAATTGTTTGTGAGAATAAATATGCAATCACGAGCAACACCACTATGCGGACTAAAGCAGTGCTTTCCGAGAGAGATAAAGAGAGAGAAGGTGGATGATCGGGAGCCCTTAGGAGCACCCTCCCCTGGATGTACCTTGCACCCTTTATACGGCTTATACCAAAGACTACTTGAGAGAGAGAGAGAGAGAGAGAGAGAGAGAGAGAGAGAGAGAGAGAGAGAGAGAGAGAGAGAGAGAGAGAGAGAGAGAGAGCATGAGTCCCTCCCTAGCTATTTAAGCTCTCTCCCTAGCTCATTCTTCTTGTTTAGTTTTCAGTTCTTTCTTTTTCTCCCACCCTTGGTGGCGAGAGAGAGGAGAGAGAGAGCGAGAGAGAGAGAGAGAGAGCATGAGAGAGAGAGCCTATGTCCCTTAGTATTTAGAGCTCTCAGTCCTCTTATTCCTCTGTTTTTAGTTTGGTTCCTTCTTTTCTCCTTCCCCTGGTGGCGGGAGAGAGAGGAGAGAGAGAGAGCGAGAGAGAGAGAGCCTATGTCCCTTAGTATTTAGAGCTCTCAGTCCTCTCATTCCTCTGTTTTTAGTTTGGTTCCTTCTTTTCTCCTTCCCCTGGTGGCGGCTCGCGCCGGCGGCCTTCGGCCGCCGCCGCTCGCAGCGCGGCCTGCGGCCGCGCGTTAGAGGACGGCAAGGACTCTCCATTCAGCAAGCAACAACAACAAGCAATCACAACCCCTGTCACACACAAACTCTAGAGTCAACCTATCCTAGAGGCATGGAGAGCCTCATCCGCCGAGCTGAGAGGCTCTCGCTGGTGGGAACGTCGCCAACGCGCACATATTCACGGAGGACGCGCATCACGCGACCTGATCAGCCCCAGCCTCCTCGAGCAGGGCTGCCACATAGCCCACCAGGAGCTGGAGCGCTGACACGACGCCGCCAACGATGTCTACAGCTGCGGCCGAGTCTATGCTCGCCGACACGGCTCGCATCACGACGAGCAGGCGGGGGTCCAACACGGTTCCCGGGGCGGGCACAGGCTGCACTCGCGTCGACACGACAGCGAGATCAGCTGCTGCCATCGCACAGCGATGCAGGGGGTCGTGAGGCATCCTGCACGGGCTCGCTAAGCTCCGTAGCACGGAGTGTGAGTCCGCCAGCATCTCCACAGCGATCCCCATCGCCCGCCGCGCATGCCAGAGCCGACGAAGCGTGGCGACTGGGACCGCCGTCTCCGCGGGCCGCCCCCGCCCTCGCAGCCGCTCCATCTGCAACCTCGGCGGCATCCGCAAGCCGCCCGTACGGCGCTGCTCCGACTCCCGGCGTGGAGATCCCTCACCCGGGGAATCCGCCCCCCCCATCTCCGCTGACTCTGCCCCCCCCTCAACTCCAGTCGGCGACGCCAGCGCCCGCCGGGGGGGAACAAACGGCCCAGCCGCCCGTGTGTCAAAGGACACCGGGGCCAACGGCGGTTGCTGAAGCTGGCCACCGTGCCAGCCCATCGCCGAGGTCTCCGGCGGCGATGGCTGCCAGCTCAGCGGCGCCCCCACCGTCGGAGCTGCCGCCGGCGCAGTCAGAGGACGCGACGGGCGGTGAGGGCAGGATAGCGGCGGGGGCTGGTACTGGGGGACAGGGAGGTGACTGAGCGGGGGCGGGGGCTGCTGAACGGCGGACGCAGGGGGAGGAAGGGACTGAGCCGTCATCTGCGGGGGGACGAACGGCGACGGGTTCGCGTGCACGGACGAAATTGGCTGCGGAACTTCCGCGGGCGCCAGTTGAGGCGGAGCAACCGAACGGAGCAAACTCTCCAACGTTGCGGCGGCGCGGCCCAGCCGCCTCTCTGCGGCCGTCCCTCGACTGTTCCCACCGCCAGCCCTCCACCCGCGGCGCTGGCCGGACTGCCCATGCTGCCTCTGAGGCGTCCGGTGCTGCTGAGCGGGCAGCGCCTGAGCGGCACGCTGGGGTGTCCCTCGGCGCGACAGGGCCGGCTCCGGCGGTTGCTGCCGCAGCCGCGGTGCTGAACCATGCTGGCCCCTGCCCGCACGCTCAGGGGACTTCCGCTCTCGCCGCCGAGGGGTTCAGTGGCGGCTTCCCGACCGCCCAGGCATGCGCTCCGGGGACTGCTGACGGCTCGCTGACGGGGCGGCGACACCGCGCTCCCAGTCGTGGTCCGACCGCGGCGGATGGCTCGGCCGACCTCGGCGGGGGACGCTCTCCCCCGTGCTCTCCAAATCACATGAGCGCTCGCGGCGGGGACGCTCCTCTCCCCCCGCTTCAGGGGGGGGGTTCATCGAGGACTCAACGGCCTCCTACGGCCTCGCCCGCACGACGGACCGGAAGGCGCGTGTCGTGCGGAGAGACAGAGGGACGCGGCGGACGCAGGGACGGCAGCACCGGGGGCCGGGGAGGCTGGGGGCGCGGACGTGGTCGAGGCCGGGCGGGAGCCTTAGCACGGGATGGCGGCCCAATGAACGGGTTCCAACAAGCTGCGAACAGGGCTTTAAGGGAGAGGGGGCTCAGAGGAACAACTGACGGGGAAGAGAGGAGAGACAGCCCCTATATACCGGAGGTGCTCCACGAATCATCCACAGAGGAGTCCACCGATACATTGGAAGAACGGGCACCACCTCGTCGACGAGGCGGGAATCCATCCCCATCTCCCAGATCTCGCGGGCGAGGACCTGCTGGCACCCAGACCGCTCAGGTCCCGCAGGACTCTCCCGCCCGGGCAGCCCGGGGGACTACGCGAAATGACCCCAGCTCTGGGCCGGGAAACCAGCGAGCTACGCGAAACAACCGTGCCACTGATACGCAGTCAACCCAGACCCAGCGGCAATTTTCACCAGAGGAGCTGTCGTCCAACGAAACTCTGTTCGCCGGGGTGGCGGGATGGGACATCGACCTGCTGTGCGACAGTCGCCAACCCCCGATTTCCCGCAGGATCCCCCCCAAACTTCGCCAGCTCTTCGCTCTGGCACTTCTGACACCTCTACTCCATATCGCTCACAGGCCAACCAGCCTCGCTGGTTGGCGTTTGTTGCTTTTCGTCCCCCGCCTAACCCTTCGCCTGCATTCGCCCAAGCACCCTGATTGGGCCGCAGTGGAAAACCGACTGCAGCAGTTCCTGGCGGGCGAATGGCAACTGCTGTACCTGTCAGCAATCGACGCCGTAAATAACCCCCCCGCTCCTCGCCACATGGCAGACTCCATCGGCAGGCAAACACGAGCGGAGGGGCTTGTCCGCCGTGGCAGTCTCAGACGTGCCTTACTGGCACTTGACTCAACACCAGTCAGCGCTTCAACCCCCGACGTCCTCGAAGCGTTGAAGTCCAAGCACCCCGCCCCGCTGACTGAGTCAATCACCTGGCCCGTCCTCGACGAATCAGAAACGAGCCCCACATTCTCGCAAGCTGAGTTCATCCGGTTACTCAGCCGTTGCGAGAACGGGGTGGGCGCAGGGCCTTCAGGAATGTGTTTCGAGCACATTCGCGAGGCTGCCCTCGCCAACGGAACGGTCGCCAGCAGCCTATACGCGCTCACAACCCGCCTGCTAAAAGGGGACTCCACAGCCAAAATTGCATCCCTCCTCACTGCCAGCCGCCTCATCGCTTTTCCTAAACCCGGGGGCGGCACGCGTCCCATCGCCATAGGCGAATGCCTGCATCGCCTCGTGGCGAAGGCGGGCCTTCTAACCATGACGGAGCAGGCGCATGCCCACTTCTTACCTCTGCAGTTCGGGGTAGCAGTACGAGCAGGCGGTGAGGCGATCATCCATGCAGCGCGTGCCTACACAACCGAATTCCCCGCTGCCCTGGTACTCCAAGTCGACCTTTCGAACGCCTTCAACAGCGTCGATCGGGCCGCGATAGTCGCAGGGCTCTTCAACTCACCCCTCCGACCACTACTCCCCTTCGTCCAGCTCTCGTACGGCGCCCCATCACGCCTCTACCTCGACGCAGGCCTCAACAGTGGGCCACTCCTCAGTGCCCGAGGAGTTAGACAGGGGGACCCGATGGGTCCCCTGCTCTTTGCGGCAGCCATGCACCCGGCGCTTCAGGCGACAGCCTCGGCTTTCCCTAGCGTTCTCTGCCTCGCGTATGCCGACGACATCACGCTACTCGGAGAGCCGTCGGCATGCGCGGCGGCGTTCACACACCTCACAGAGGCCCTCCGCCCCTTGGGCCTCACGCACAACCCCTCTAAGTGCGCGGCCTGGTCGGCCTCCCGGCCTCCCAGCTCCATGCTCCCTCCCGGCATCCCCCTCAGCGCCGACGGGCTGCGCGTCCTCGGGAGCCACATCGGCCCCCCCGAGGCAACGGCCGCTTTCCTTCGGGAGCAGCTGGCCGACATGGCCAGACCGCTACCCGCCCTGGCAAACATGGGCCCCCAAACCGCAGGCCTCCTCCTCCACCGCTGTGTCTCGCGCCGAGTGTCCTACCTGACCCGCACCACCCCTCTCAATCTGCTGCCCGCCGAGGACTGGTCCCGGTGGGGCCAGGAGCTCTTCCACACCCTGCTCCACTCGTGCAACCTCCAGCTCCCACGAGGAGAGCGGGAACTGTCGCGCACATGGCAGCAGGCTTCTCTGCCCCCCTCCCTTGGCGGCCTAGGCCTCACAGACCCCGCAGTGGAGGGCCCGCACGCCTTCCTCACCAGCGTCACACAGGCCCACCGGCTGTTGATTTCCCTCCCATCAGACCCGACCGGTCCACTCGCAGCGGCGGCGTGCTCCCTGGCCCCCCCATTTAACAGCCCGACCCCCCTCCACTCCTGGCTGCTGGAGTGCGAGGAGTCCCTCCCAGCCCCAGCCTTGGCGCTCCTGCAGGCCGAGCGGGCCGATGCCTCTGATGAACCCCTCCAGCATCGGCTGGCCCTGGAGGTGCACGCAGCCCGCTTCGCCCACCAACTGGCTGCCTCAAGGGAGATGGAACTCAACCCCCTCAGCGGCCACACTCAGAGGCTTCTCTCACTCACCGGGTACGG